GTATGCACGTCACTGGATGGGTAGGTGGGAGGGAGTTTCGAAGAGGGGTTTGTGCGCTTGCGCCGTGCGTGGGTGGAGGGCGGAGGAGACCGCTAGCACGCTTGCGCGGCTGTCATAGGGCTGCTTGGTTGGTCAGTGGGGAGTCAGCGCCTGCGTACTAAGATCCGTGTGCAGCAGCGGCGGCGGCGGCGGCGGCGGTAGAGGCGGCGGCGGCAGCGGCAGCGGCAGCGGGCTCAGAGGCAGCGGTTGGACTCGCGGCTAGCGGACGTGGTCGAGTCATTGCGTTCGCGCGAGGTGAGAGCGGACGGGGCGCGCGTGCGTGGAACCTTGGGTCGGGTCTGTAAGGAGAGATGGAACTGAACGGGAGTCGGGGAGGGGGCAGAGTGGAGCGGTGGCCTCCGCCGCACGGGCTTCGATGTGGGAGCAGCGCGAGGTGCGGAGAAATGTGGGCTTGGTCCCGGTTGGCGCGCGGGGTGGCGGTTGGGGCTGGCCGGGTGACGTTGGAGCGACGCAGGGCGGGGGGCGGCGAGCCGTGAGGTCGCCACGCGGGAGAGGCCGCCAGCCGGCCACTCCGGGGCCAGGGCCGCGGGCCGCATCGGCCCACCGGGGTGAGCGCACCTGGGCCATTGAGCACCGGGCGCCTTGCGACCACGTGAGTGGGGGTGGGGACGGCTCGGTGAGAAATCATGAGGGGGTTGGTGGCCGGCGAGGGGTTGGGGGGCGGCGTGGCCCCGGGCTGGCCTTTGAGGAGGGGGCGGCCGTCGCACCGGAAGTGCCCCCGGGGAGGCAGCCCTAGGGTCGGAGGCCGCATGGCCTAACGTGTACCGGGGCCGCATGGCAGAGCAGGGACCCTTCCCCTCCCCCCAGGTGCTGGCCACCGGAAGCCCCGGGCGGGCATATGGTGGGCGGGAGTCGGCAGCCCCCGGTGCGGGGAGGGCTGGGCCTCGTGGGTGCCCAGAAGAGCCAGGAATTTTGGGGAATGGGAGCTGCTCGAGGCCCACGTCCTCATCACTGAAGAGCCCACTGCGGGCATATGTTAGCGATTCCTCCACGTCATGGGCCCCTGGAAGGTTTTCCGCAAATCCTCCAGTGAAGTGAGGCTGCTGGTCAGGTGTAATTGGCTCTTTGAGCGAGAGGATCGAGAAGCGGGGAGACCGAGGGCAATTGGACGGTCCCCTAACTCTTCAGGGCCCGAGCAGATGTTCCCTAGTGGAATCTACGCTCTTCACCTTGTCACCGCCTTCTCTGTTTCAGAGTTCCTCGGTATTAAGACTTCTTAACTCTAGGAGTCTAGTTTAATTTTTACTACTCTACTACCACCTTTTGCTTTCATTTTATTGTCGTCTCCCCACCCCTACACCCCCACTTTTACTGACTGTACAGGCCGGGCCTGAAAATCCGACAGGACCGGTGCATCCTGGGAAAAGTGGGAGGGCCCTCGGAGACTGGGTGCCAGGGTTCCCTTCAGGAACCAGATCGTTGTATTTGGCAGGAGGATTGGTTAGGAAACAACTTTCCTTTCTCCTCTGCTGTATCTGCAAATGCGTGTTGGGGAGGCGGGAATCCCCCAGAGAGGCCTTGTGGTTTCCTGTAGCAGTGACTGGCTGTGTGTGGATTGGGGGGGGTAACAGACGGGTGGGGCCCTGGCCTCTGGTCTCCACCTTAGCCCATTAGCCCCTCCCTTTTGCTGGCTCATAGCTGCTCACCTAATTATAGCCTTGGTTATATGTGCAGAAGAAGGGGTAGGTGGTTTTGGTAACACCTGGGTCCCCATTCCCCCCCCCCCCCACTCGCAAGGAATTAGGCCTTTGCCCATCCCTGAGACTTAATATCCCAACTCTCTGGAGCATTTCTGTTCTAAGCCACTATAGCTTTACTTTTGGAGTTGATCCCACCCTTTAGTGCTTTTTTAGGGGTTTAGGTAATTCTAGTATTGGACCCAGGAACTTGGACTTTATGTTAGGTGGGGAGGGTAATAAAGGGCTAGGGGAAATTAAAAGGGATTTCTAGAGAGGAATGAGGACCTGTTAATGCGAGTTTTCACTGAACCCAGTTCTCTTTTTTTCACTCAGTAGGAATCGAAGCCTCTTAAAATGGCAGATGATTTGGACTTCGAGACAGGAGATGCAGGGGCCTCTGCCACCTTCCCAATGCAGTGCTCAGCATT